TGATGTTGATAGTATGTCCCCTTGATATGATGTGATGAAAATGGCACTTCACCTCTGTGGTCTTCCCTCAAAAAAAAACATAACTCCATTTTAAAGATGAGAAAAAACATCAGACCAACCCCAATTAAGAAACAACAGATAAAATACCTAACCTATACTCGTCAAAACAAACTGTCAAGGTCATCAAAAATACAAAAAGTTTAAAAAACCATTACAGCCAAGAGAAAAATTAAGAACATATAACCACTAAATGTAATATGGTATCCGGTATGAAAGTCTAAAATATTTTTTAATGGTAGGTAAAAACTATGGAAATCTGAACAAAGTAGAAACTTTATTTAATAATTATTTACAATTTATTAATTTTAACAAATGTCCCATACTAACATAAGATAATAATAACAGGAAAACTAAGTGTGGGGTACTATGCTATCTTCACAATTGTCCTGTTAATCTAAAACTATTCTAAATAATAAAGTTTTTTGTTTTTTAATTGGACCAAGAAGTAAAGCAAAGAAAACCATTACTATTCAAGGGATAGATAGAAGAAAAGGTCAGGAAACAAAATTTAAAAGAAGTGATCACAAATGTAGAAAGATAAAATGATGCCCTAAAAATCATAAGGAAAAAGTATACAAGGAGGGAAATAGGTGTAAAATAACAGACATCAAGAAGATAAGGAATAAATATAAACCACTGGATTTAGGAGGTCAGTGGAAAAATAAATGAAAGTCCAATGGAGCTGCGAGGAGCAAAGGTAAATTACAGGGGTTTACGATGCTTTATGAGCCGTAATTTTATGATTCTCTCAATCACAAATCTCTTAAAAGATTCTCCTGGTTTCAAAACTATTGAAATTTTTCCCTCTTCCTTAAATCCACATCAGTTTAGTTGCCAAAACTTAACTCTTACTGAATATTCTTTCACAGTGTAAGTATTCGAATGTATACAACAGGTAGCATACATTCATCTGGCAGTAATGGAAAACTCCAAAAGCAAACTGGCTTAAACAGTAAAGACATGTATAACCATGCCTTGATATATATAACAAGAAGTCAATGGTAGAGCAGGCTCTAAAGGCAAGGCAAATCAGAGCTTCAGAAATTCTCTATAATTCCCTTGGATCTGACCTCCTATGTGTAGCTTCATCCACAGGCTGGAAGCATAATCAAAATAGTTTGAGACTGTGATCTGCCCATCTTTGAACCTGTCACTAGAAAAGAAAGGAAACTGCCATGTTTCACTTAGACTAACCAGAATCAATCCTGGAACTAGGAATGAGGATGCCTTTCTCTGAGGCACATGAAGGAGGATTAGATGTCTGAACAAAACATGTTCTGTTAGAAAGGTAGACAGGAGAAGAGTAATGCTAATAGGCAATTAACAGTAACCAACACAGGAGGTCCTTATTTGCATGTTTTCCTGGGTCTGGGGAAGTTTTTAAAAATTACTTTAATACAATGAAGAACAGGCTTGAACAAAATAAGGGCCAAATAATTTCCTTCCTCAAATAACAAAGTGACAGCCTCACAGATGATCAGTGCTATTTTACAAGCCAAGAGAGAAACTGTGGTATGAATTTGTAAGGTTATCCCTCAAATTTGTATCATACAAATTAAATGCATTTGGTATTTTAAAACAGAACCCTTCTACAACGATTTTCAACTGGTACACCGAAAGAGGCATGGTGGTACGCCACAAGAATTTTTAAAACATGCAATACCTGACTATTTTGTCAGGGGCACTGACCTCTTTTCCCTTAGGTTGTCAAATAAAAACATGACAACAGCCAACACAATAGCCATATGATGTGAATGAAACAAAATTATACCTACTGTTTTTGTCAGATCAGCAAAAAATATGTTTTTTGGTGTGTGGCAGAATTTTAGTAATTAGTTTATATGTGCCATGAGATGAAAAAGGTTGAAAACTTCTGCTCGAAATTGTTATTTTGTTGATGATAAGATGGTAAGAGATGTCAACATGGTGGAAAGAACACTGGATTTGGAGTCAGATCACTGGGCTCTGGTACTACCTCTTCCCCTAAATTGCAGCTAGACACACCTAACCTTTCTAGGTTCCAGTTTCCTCCACTGATAAATTAGAAAGTTCAGAGAGGTAATCTTTAAGTCTTCTTTCTGGTTATTCCTAATTATAAATAATATTCATTTATTAATTAGAAAATTTATGCAGACTATTTAAAGTTGTAATTCTGGGCTAGTCAATCCTAAAGATAGATACCTTCCAAGACTACAAGCTGATGATACAAAATTTTTCCTACAAAACCGCACTTTCACAAAAACCTTCACTATTGCCAGAAATGTAAATAGCATAATGTTATAACTTCTGAAATAATTCAATTTCTTTTAAAACCCAAATTCATTATTAAAAGACTGCAGCGTACCTACAGAAGCAAACCCTTACTGTTGGACAGGGGAACGGAAAATGACAGAAACTAACCACTTTGAAATGCAATTAAAGACAAGATTTCTAACCACTAAGCCTAAATGAGGAAGAAGATGAAAATCAAAGCCCAACGAAAGAGCTGGAATTCAAGTCACAATCAGACAGGAACATTTCTACATAGATTAAAAAATAGTGTCAAGGGGAAATATCCCCCAAAAGTAAAAAGAGTGTATAGGCCTAGAAGAAATCGAATCTAAGTGTCTCATGAATTTCTCTTCAAGACTGTTGATTTATGCAAAGTTGATAGAAATAACTTTCAAAAACAGGTTGGTGACAGTAAGAAACAGGAGAGGAAACCATTACCATGCCCTTTGGGAGCCTCAAATTAATGGATTTTGGCAAACCAGACACAAATCATATGGGATGACTCTGGATAAAACCCCATCACTTTAGCCAAATGCATTATGATCTGGAGTTGGTTCTTCTCAAAATTATTAATAATGAAAAATACTTACACAGGATACACATGATTGCCAGGAAAAAAAAAACGCACTTCTTTGAAACAGTTTTTAAAACAACAAACCACCCGCAGAAACCACATGGGCACAAAATGAAACAATTCTGTTCACTGATCTGTGGAGCATTTAAGCACTCCCCAAGTGCTTCAGGCTCTATTTCTGGGACAAGCAGAATATCCATGAAAATACCTGATTTGGAGCTACCAAGAAAACAGTGCAAACATACATCCACTGGCCTGAGTTTCAAGAGAAATAATTTTCCCCAAGGACAGCCTTATACTTTTGAAACCAATTTGTTTTAAGAAGACATTTCTTTTCCTCACAGTAAGACTCTAACTAAAGCTTAAAAACTCTCAAAATAAATTTTATTCAAAGCACTTAACATTAAAGAATTAATGACATATAAGTTAAAATCTTCGGGAATTACCCATTTCAAATCCAAAACTCCCCACTATCAGTAGTAGCATTATGAATATATAAAGTTACTCAATTTATCAAGTTATACAATAATACCCTACTGAAATAATGTTATTTCACTAGGTAAGCTGCAAAAGAAGAAGTCATAAATATAGAAGAAGGAATATTATTGAGGAGACAGGCAAGAGAAGGCAGAAGATGGGGGCATGTAGTTGCACTGTAACACTAGAAGCTGGGCTGGATAAACTGAAAAGGGAAAGAGGCCTAGGAAAAAGAAGCCAAATGAAACCACAGACTAGCACACAGCATTGCCTAGGGGAAAATGCAAAGACTACATAAAAATGTCATTTATGGACAGAAATATCAGATAGGTACTAGATATATTAACAGAAAACAGAAATCTATCTTGACCACCAGCATCACACAAAAAATACTCCACTCATTCCTTTAAATGAATGGAAAAAGATATATTTTGGGCCATGGCCTATTATATTGTCTCTACAAGACATGAAAAGAATACAATAAAAACTCAGCAGCCTGCAAAAGCTACATGTTTACATAGATCTGCAGACATACTCTTTACCATGTTTTCAATTTCCTGACACAATACCATAAAAATTGGAGATTTTTTCCCCTCTACTTTGGCTCTATATAAGCTGACATTTCCCTGGATAGGCTAGCAAAGCTCAACCTGTCAAAGCCTGCATAACCCTGAAAAACACATATAGTTTCCAGAAGAACTAGAGGAAAAAATGGAAAAACAGATGAGTTTCCAAGAGAAACAAGTTTGAATTGTGTATATCTATATTCCTTGTCCTTTAGAGATGCTGTTACTGGTAGTATTTGTTATCACATACATGAATCTTAAAAATACCAAAGCATTGGAGCCATTCAAGTGCAACTGTAGCTATCTTATAAACCTACGATTTTCAACCTTTTCATCTCATGGCACAAACTAATTACTAAAATTCTGAGGTACATCAAAAATATATATTTTTTGCCAATCTGTCAAAAATAAAATAGGTATAATTTTGATTCATTAACACCAGGCAGCTACTGTTATCATTTCTTTCTTTGACAATCTAAGGGAAAAGAGGTCAGTGCCCCTGACTAAACAGTGAGGTATCGCATGTTTTAAAAATTCTTGCGGCACACTGGTTAAAAATCACTGTTATATATAGTTTCAATACAAGGAAAGGATAATAATATCAAGGATGAAATACCCTGGGATTGTCACATAGTCAGAAAGAATACAGATCTGAAGAAAGATCAGATTAGACCCTTTTCAGAAAAGGAACAGGGAAACCCTATAACCATAACGAGTATTTGTAATTAAGCAAATAGCATAAAATGTGTATGAAATTCTTCATAATATGGTAAAAGAACTGTGTTTTCTAAATAGTTGCTGAGTATAATGATCTATTATGGATACAGAAATGAGAATGTCTGGTTTCTCAACATTTACTAAGAGCAGGAAGTGATGTGTCTATGATATAGGAAACTAGCATAAAAGATAGTGCATATTCCAAGTGTGTAAATTTTGTGCAAAGATTTAATGACAAGAGAAGAAACTTATAATGTATACTTTATGAAGTATAAAGGAGAATAACATATAAAAAGAATAAACAAAAAATAAAGCACTCATTTCCTAAATATTACCAGTAGTTGAATCACAGACATCTTCACCAGCACTCGCTCCTAGAGCTTCCATAATCTTCTGCACTGTGGTTACTTCAAAGTAAAAGTAAAAGTATGGTAATGGCTGGACTAAAGTTTAAACTACAGTACACATAGAGCATTCTACTTCCAATCAAAATAGAGATGCAGGGAGCAGATTTAACCTCCCAACTAAACAAATAAAAATCTGAACAAAATATATGAAATAGTTTTGGACAACAAGCAGCACAGAATTATAATTCCTGAGAGGAAGGAAACAAAGTAAGAATTATAATTGCCCAGCCTACAACCTAGAGTCAGTTCAAAGGCACATGGTGCAAGAACCCAAGCAAAAGTGACCCCTCACTAATTTGAGGGAACAGATAAGTCTGTGAGGCAGCTAAGCTAGTGCTTGCAGGGCCAAAAATTTGAGAGAACTATACCAAGTAAGAATTCCAGAGATAGAAAGAGTTGTTCACATCTTGGGCTGAGTACTAACATGTACACACATGAGAGAAAACTAACTACATGAGGCTGGGAAAAGCAAAACAAAGTGAGTAGACAAAACAACATCTGGAGCTCACACACTGTTGGTAATAGATTGTGTTCCTGCCATTCAGAGTGGATAAACCCTGTAATACATAGAGCATTCAGCTGAATCCAAGTGAGGGCATCTCCTTAGTAATGGGGCTAAATTAGACCTACAACAAAAGGATATTTTGAATCCACTTTAACAAATCTTAAAAATATGCCTCAAAATAATCCAACTGAGTCCAACTAATAATAATCCAACTAATATAATTGAGAAACAAAACAAAATGCAACATTATTTGAAATGATACAACAAAATTCAGCAACAAATAAGCTAATATTCAAAACAAGGACATTTTAATGCAATCAGATGTTTAAAGGCATATAGAAAATCAGGACAATCTGACCTATAATCAGGAGAAAATTGTTCAGCAGAAACGTAGAAATGAGATTATGGAATTAGCAAACAAAGATATGAAAACAGCTATAATAAATGTTTCACATGTTTCATATGTTTAAGAAGGGAGAAAACAAAAACCATAATGATGAGAGATGTCAAAGACATGTAAAAGATTCAAATGGAACTTCCAGAAAACATCTAAAAATAAAAAAAATAGATAGGATGGGGTTAACAGTAGATTAAACACTGCAGAAGACAAAGCTAGAAAATTTAAAAATTGCAATAGTAATTATTCAAAATAGTTCAAAAACTATAGAAAAAAATGTGAGATAAGATCAAGTAGTCTAAAATGGGTGTAATTGGAGGCCTAGAAAAAAAGGGAGAGGTGTGAAAAAATATCTGAAGAAATACAATTGAAAATTCTCTAAATTTCATGCAAAATGTAAGCCCAGAGATCCAGAGATCTAAATGACAGCCAAGTAATATAAACATAAGGAAATTATGTCAATGCATATCATATGCTATTGTGGAAAACTAATAAAAAAAACTTTTAATAAGCCAGAAAAAAGGACACATTATATGCAAAAGAAATAAAATAAGAGTAAAAGCTGATTTCTTGTCAAAAACTATGTAAGCCAGAAAACAATGGAGAGATATCTTCAAAGGACGAAAAGGTCAAGAAAATATGGCAGCATATAATTCTTTGCCCAGAGAAAATACCTTTAAAGCTAAATGGGAAATAAAGATATTTTTCCAGACAAATAAAAATTGAGAGAATTCTTTGCCAGCAGACCTGCACTAAAAGAAATATTAAAGAAAGTTCTTTAGGGAGAAGAGAAATAAAACCATATTGAAATTTGGATCTGCACAAAAGGAAACAGGAGTGCCAAAAATGGTAAATATGTGAGTAAATATATAAGTTTTAAAGATAATTGATTACATAAAGCAAAAGTAATAATAAACTTTATTGACTTTATAGAATAGGTAGAAGTAAACCAAACTATATCAGTACAACAAATGATGAGAGGAAATAAAAATATAATGCCATAAAGTTCATATACTGCACATGAAACAGAATAAGATTATTTGAAAGTAGACTAATAAGTTTTATATATAGTAGATCCTAGAATAATTAACTGATAAATTAATTAGCAAACATAAAAAGTAGGAAAACCCATAGTGGGTATAAAATGAAATCATTTAAAGGACACAAACAAAAAAACCTCAAACCCAACATTAGGTAGAAAAAGAAGAAAAAAAACAATAGAAGGGAAAAATAGAAAACAAATAAAAAAATGATATATTTAAACTCAATTATCTTGATAATAGCATTAAACACAGATGATCTCAACTACATTAAAAAGCAGAGATTGTCAGATTGAATAAAAATGTAGGAGAGAAAATAACCATGATGATGAGGGATGTAAAAGATATGAAAAAGATTCATTTTGACTATGAAAACAAAAGAGATAAAAATAAAGAGCTGAAAACGATATATCAATCAAAAGAAAGCTGAATTGGCTCTATTAGTATGAGAAAAATTATACTTCAGATCAAACAGTATTATTGGTATAAAGAGCGATACTTCATAATGATTTTTTAAAAAGTCAATTTATCAAGCAGACATAACAATCCTAAATATGTATGCATCTATAACCATAGCAAGAGATATTAGCACTCCTCTCCAAGTAATTGATGAAATAAGTAGAAATAAAATCAGTAAATATATATGACTTGAACAATATTAGCAACCAACTTAATCTAATAAATATGTCTGATAAACACTACTTGAAATGTGCTAATTAGGCAATTTTTCAAGTGCACTTGGAATATTTAAGACAGATACTATTCTGAGCCATTAAACATGTCTCGGTTGATTTTTTTTTTATCCTCACCTGAGGACATTTTTCCATTTATTGTCAGACAGAGTGGGAGAGAGATGAGAAACATCGATGCAAAAGACAGACATAGACTAGCTCCCTCCTGTCGGACCCCAAGCAGGGCCCGGAACTGAACCGCAACTGAGGTATGTGCCCTTGACTAGAATCAAACCCCCTCTTTGGTCAAGGAGCCGACACTCTAACCACTGAGTAAAACTGGCCAGGACAAGGCTCGGTTGATTTTAAAAACCTTAAATCATACAAAGTACATTCTCTAAACACAGAAGAAATATATTAAAATCAATGAAAGAAATAATCTGAAACACTAATTTTCTGAGCAATGCATTAACAAAGGTGATTATGGAAATAAGAGAGGAAACATGAAAGGCTGCAGTTTTTTTAACTACCACTCTTCTTATACTAGTGTTCTTTCCCAGAAGTGGTTCATTGTCTAAAATGAACCATTCATTGAATCAAGGGGTAAAGTAAATAGATTGTAAAATACTGTAGGTCTAGGAAAACAGTATGATGGTTCCTCAAAAGCTTAAACATAGAATTATCAATATGATCCAGCAAGTCCACTTCTGGGTATATATTCAAAAGAACTGAAAACAGAGACATGAACAGATAATTGTACACTCTTGTTTATAGCAGCATTATTCACAATAACCAAAAACTGAAAAAAAAAATGTCTATCAATAGGTAAACAGATACACAAAATGTGGTATATAATACAATGGAATATAATTCGGCCTTAAAATTGAATAAAATTCTGATATATGCTACAACATGGATGAACACAAAAACATTACACTAAGTGAAATGAGCCAGAAACAAAGAGACAAATATTGCTTGGCACCATGTATATGAGGTACTGAAACAGTCAAATTCATACATAGAGAAAGCAAAATAGTGATTACCAGGGACTCGGGGAAGGGGAAAATGATGAGCTGTTGTTTAATTGGTACATATTTTTACTTTAGGAAAATGAGAAAAAGTTCTTGGAGACAGACAGTGGTGATGGTTGCACTACCATGTGAGTGTACTTAATACCACTCAATTGTACACTTAAAACGTATTCAAATATTATAGACAGATACGATACAGACATGGATATATTGACAATATAGATATAATCGACAAATTCTGCTATGTATACTTTACCACAATTTTAAAAATATATGTGATTTAAAGAATATAAAAGGCAAAGAACTGATTTGGAGGAAATATTTCAAAACATATCTGAAAAAGGTCTTATATCTAAAATATAAAATGAATGCTTATAAGTAAATAAAATAAACACCTCAATTTTTAAAATGAAAAAACTTAGACATTTCATGAGAGATGTAAGAATGTAAGTAAGCACATAAAAAGATGCTCAAGATCATTAGTCATTAGAAAAATGCAAATTAAACTCAAAATGCAGGTACTAGTAAATATCTACTAAAATGTCTAAATTTTTTATTAAATTTATTGAGGTGACATTGGTTAATAAAATTATACAGGTTTCAGGTATACAGTTCTACAACATATCATCTGTATATAGTATTGTGTTTACCATCCCAGGTCAAGTCTCCTTCCATCACCATTTATCCCTCCTTTACCTTCGTCTTTCTCCCCCCCTGCCCCTTCCCCTCTGGCAAGCACCACACTGTTGTGTGTGTCCTAAATTGGTTAAAATTAAAAAGACTTAAAATGTCAAGTGTTGGCAATGATATGGAGCATCTGGTACTTTCACATACTGCTAGTGAGAATGCAAAATGGTACAGTCACTTTGGAAAACAGTTTGGCAGTAGTGTATAAAATAAACATACAACTTACTACATAATCAAGGAATCCCACTCCTAGCTATCTACCCAAGGGAAATGAAGATATATGTCCACATAAAAACATATTTGAGAATGTTTATAGCAGTCTTATTCATAATAGTAAAAAACCTGAAAAAACTCAAATGTCTACCACCTAGTAAGTAGAGAATTGATTTATAGTACATCCATACAATGGACTACTCCTCAGCAATAAAAATGAACAACCTACCTATATATGCAACAACATAAATGAGTCTTCCTTATACTAGTGAAAGAAGCCAAACACAAAAACAGTATCTACCTTTTATATGAAATTCTTAATAAGGCAACACTTCAGTGATCAAAAGCAAATCAGTGGTTGCCAAGAACTGGGAATGGTGGTATGAGATCAACTGCAAAGATTCACA